ATCTCGCCGAATAAATTTATTACCGTTTGCCGTCGGTTGGCCATGGTACTATTACTTTGGAATCTTGTCGCGAGCTCTTATTTATAGGCCGTGGGAGTCGGTCGTGTCGCGGACTGTGGTGTTTACGGAAAACACCGGTGGAATGCGGTTAGAGAGGGGCGAAGTTTGTTTACGCGCGTGCCTGGGCGGTTCGACATGTGCGTCGGCCGGCGGTGGGGAGGGGGGGTTGCGTTGAGCGCCGTGACTCGGTTAATTACTCTACGGTCTGTTCTTCTCCTTTTTCTCTTTTTCTCCGGCCTGTTTCGCGGTATCAATAGACGCGGGTTTTAAATCTTGGACATGCACGTGGCGGTGCCACTTCCCCCTAGCGTCGCGTAAGTCAACGATAACGGGCGAAACAATTTTCCGAACGGTTAAGGGGCCGATAAATTTGGGCGAAAGTTTGGCCGCAAATGCCTCGCCCCAGTTGGACAAGGGACGGTCCCGCTTCCACACTCGGTCGCCGATTTGAGGTCGCCAGTCGCGGCGCCGTAGATTGTAGTACCGTTCCTGGCGTTGGAAGGCACGAGCTAGGTGTATTCGGGCTAGTTCGAACGCCTTCTCTAGCCGCTGGCGGGTGACTTCCGGAGTCCCCTGGTGGGTTACCAGTCCGCGATCCTCTGGGCTGGGCCTGACTAGCTCCCGCCCGTGAGTCAAGAAAGCCGGGGTATATCCGGTTGCTTCGTGCCGGGCGGTATTGAGCGCAAATTGTAAGGCGTCAATGTGCTCGTCCCAATCCCGGTGACGCTCCTTTACATATTGGGCGATCATCGTCCTAATTGGCGATTCGCCCGTTCTACTGGGTTACAGTGGGGGGCGTATGCCGGAGAGTTTCGGTGTTCAATCCCGAACGCGGCGAGCAATTGTCGGAATTGGCGCGAAGTAAATTGCGTGCCGTTGTCGGATATTAGCTGCTGGGGGCACCCGTGTCGGTAAATGACTCGCTTGGTGATCTCGCGGGCTAGGTTTGGGGCCGTGGCTTGCCATAATGGCACCATCTTTACCCATTTACTGAATCGGTCTTTTGTTGTTAGTAACCAGGTATACCCTCTGGTTGATCGGGGCAGTGGTCCCACTAAGTCGACGGACACTTGCTGCCCGGGTGCGGTCACTAGCGTAGCGTGCAGGTCCCCAGCGGGTCGCTGCTGGGGCACCTTGTAACGTCTCGCGATAGTATGCCGCTGCCACCAATTTTATGTTTTATGTATCTATTGCTTTTTATGTTGCAGATGGCGATGCACCTCGATGCTCGACCGTTACTTCCTACACGGATGTCGTGCCTCGGCGGACTCCGTTAGGTTCTTCTTATCTGAGTGTACCTCAGTCACGCAGAATAAGGGTGCTCTCAATTTTTGAGGCTACCTGCTGGGCCGGCAATACCTCGGGACTCAAGAGCTTAAGAAGGTAGAGGCGGTCCGTGAGTGCGAAAACGGGGATGGCGATTGTATCAATAAACGTAATAAAATTAATAGAGTTGTAATTTACTCATATAATATTCCACTTCCCTGTCCGCTGTTAGAGTATCAAAATCGTTGTTTGTAGGTATGCTATCCGTCGGTAAATTGTCGGTAAATGATTTTTCTGTTACGCCTGCGATCGAATTATAAGGGCTAACGTCGGCGGAGGTACACGTCGGTTGTACGTTGATAGTTGAGTTTCCTCTATTCGCAATTAAAGTATTGTAATTTTCGTCAGTTACGCGGTCTGTCGTTTGATTGTCGGTATGCAATTTCTCTAATTATGTCATCGATAATTAATAATTGTGGAGTCGTCAATGTGAGAAGGGCTTCTTGTAATTCGGATTCTAACGGATCGATTTCGATCTGATTTGTGTGTTGTACGTAAGTGATCAAGTCGTCGTAATTTATAATCGTTGGCGTTGTAGGATCAAGTTTTAGTTCAGTATAGAAATCTATTTCAGCGATGTTATTTTCAAGAGTTATCTGTTCAATTGTAGAATTTATAATTATTTCCGATTTAATAATATCACGATGTTCCGATTTAATTATTTGTTCTTTCCTTTCTTTGTTTTTGATGTCTCGTAAAATATCCTATGCGTTTGCTTGAATGGGAATTTCTATCAATTCTGAAATTAATGCTTCAAAAGCTATTAATTGTTTCTGCGAAAGTTGACTCGATCTCCGATGTTTCTTTGCTACGCGGAGCTTAGATCTTTGTAATTTATAAGTTTTCCGTTTCTTATGGCGTCTAATCGTGTCGATAGTCTTTGTCATTTAGTAGTGTGTTAATATGTCAACGGAAGAAAATAGTGTATCACTTAGTTAAACAGACAATTATAAATGTGACTTACTTGGTACTCAGTTCCGTGGCGTTGATCTTACTCGCTGTGATTGTAAGAATTTTAATTATCGTATATCGTAATCAAAATAAAAGGAATTTAATATGTAGAAAAAATGCGTCAATCGGTGTAGGCGCGCGTGTGTGCGTGCGTAATAAAAGATTAAAGTTAGATAATTTTGTTACTCGGTTTCTTGATGTAAAAATTTTATATTAACTTGTACGATTGGGTTATGTTCACCTTTGATTCTCATGTTCCAACTAATTTGCATTTATTTGTTAGTGCTGGTTTTACAATAATAGATTCCGGACTTATAGATTTTTGTTTTGATTTCGCTGTGTTCGCTCGGTTTCCTAGAGTACGATGTTCCTGTTGATCGGTCGTTGACTGACTCGTTGCTGCTTTCCGATGATGATGATCCGTCGGCTGAAAGGAGAGGTTTCCGTTCTGACGTGTCTTCTGTTGGGTTCCTTGTATTCTCGAATTTCCGTAGCGGCTTTGTAAGTTGTTGACTAATAGGTTGTATAATTCTTCCTTGCCAATTTCCCATAAATAATTTCGAGTTCCATAAATTTTATGTTAAACTTTGAAGTAGCGATTGGTTGATATAGTTTGTAGTGGCGGTATGTCGAATAAATTTTAATGTTCAGCTTGAGTATGGTTTCTTGATTTCTTCCTTACGCACTTCTTGCGTTATTTTTCTATGTTCTCATTTCGCATTGCTCGCGAAATTCTATGTTCTTGATGTGTCGCTAATTTCTTCTAAGTTCTATTTCTGACAGTATTTTGAGTTTGCTATAAATCGGAAACGTTTAGAGATAACTATTTTGAGTTCGGTCTGTAAAGTTTGCTTGAGTCGTGAGATTATTCTGGCAATAAAAAGTTTTAAAAAATTTAAAATTAAAAATTTTTGAGTTTTCGTAAAATTTATTAATTTGTTTTATTTTCAGGTAAATTCAATCTAGAGGCATTATTAATCCGTTTTTGACTGAATTCAGATTATTAAAATTATGGAGCAACGCGGGGTGGACCTAACCCTAATCGCATATATCGGGCAGGAGGACTCCAGGAGGGTCCTCCTCATTGGTACCTACGTGGAGCTGGAGGACAGAGCTCGGCTCGTGCTCCAGCTCTCCGAAGACGTCCATCGCGGAGAGGCACAATTATTTTTGGAAACGCTAAGGACTTTTACGTGGGGGCTCGAGGAACAACTCAGGGGCCCGGTGGAGGAGCCGGCGGGACCACGAAATGCCGAGCCTGCGGAGGGGCTGATCGCGGGGTCAGTGCAACCAAATTTTTGGGAGCGCGCGAGGGACCTCATTAGATTAATAATACATTTTATTTTTTAAACACTATATTATATTATATTTTCCGTTTCATGATTTTATTGTATATATATATATATATTCGCTTTTATAGTTTTATAGTTTAGTTTTTTTTGTTATTGTTCGTTTATATAATTTATATGTATATATTTCCTACTTTATATTTATATTATATGTTTAATTTAAATTTTCTTAATTTCTATATTGTATAATAATTTTTTAGAATATATATATATATTGTTCAAACAAATTAGTTTAATCACCTTTTCTCCAATAATATTAATTTTGCGTTAGTTTTTAAGCGTGTTAAAATCAAGGTTCAAGCAATCGCGATATTGTTGAAGATCGTAAATTATAATTGCCTGCGTTGTACAATTTATATGAACACATAACGGTGGTTGCAGTGCAAGATTTTGTTGATGATTCGAATTAGTTCTTATACATTAAGGGGGAACACCAGGGTGACGGCCGAAAAAAAAAGGCTATTTTCGTGAATTTTTTTTTCATTATCTAATAGTTTGTTTAATTTATAAACTATATATATTAAAAGTACATACTTATATTATGTTACAAAAAAAATTTCATAAAATAATATTCATATTTATAATAACTATGGTGATTAATGTGCACCTCGTCTGAAAAAACATGGGTGCACGGGCGCTCGTGCTGCATCTGAACGGGAGCTCTAAAATAAATTTTTTAAATTGTGATTTAAAGTATATGAACGTAGTTTTAGTTGCACGTACGGATTTTTTGATAAAATAATTTTTGACAAAATGGCACTGTTTAAAAAAAAGTTTTCGATTTTTCAACAAAAATTCGTTACTTCTTTAATTGTTTTTCAAAAACTAATAATCCGATTGAAAAATCCGTACGTGCAACTGAAAACAATTTTGTTGTAAACATTCTGTCCAAATTTCAAGTTATTCGGATAAAAATTGGCCGAGATATGAGAGCGCCCAGTTACGAAAACGTGGTTTCGAGAAAAACGCGTTTAAAGTTTTACAACTAATTGGTTCATATAAAAACGATAAAATTTTGTAACGAACCAAAGTGCGTCCAATCCGGGTGCATATGAAGTGCCTTCTGAAGCAATAGAACTCAAGCACGTAGACAACAAAAGAATACCGGTAAAACTCCCTACAGACAGATCAAGGGGACTGCCGAATCTTTTTAGGTAGCGCGCGGCCGGTTCTACTAGCGGCATCTGACCAAGTTCTACTCTATGACATATTTACTATAGTTCCGTTATGAATTTCACCATAATATTATAGGGACATATTTTTAAGACTCCAAACATCACAAAAATGCAAAAAAAAAAATCGATTTTTTGAAACCGTCACCGTGGTGTTCCCCCTTAATAATGCTTTAAATGATGTGCCGAATAAATATGGTGTAGGATTACTGTTCTGATGTCCGTGATTTCTTATTTGGCTGAAGAAATTTTCTACAGCATCTTGATTGAGATATTTCAAATTTAACGTGGTAAATTCGCATTCTTGAAGCATTTTCCATAAACATTTTACGCCTTGTATTGTTTGTCTCCAGTTAATCAAACACTTCGGCTTATTTTTTCTTAAAGATCTGTAACTTTTTTTCTCAATTTCCATATTCCTTAATTTATATAATGCTTCTTGCCAAAATGTTAAATGTTTGTTATCTTGTGTAATGATACTGCTGAGACCTTGCCCAATATTTCCATTAAAAGAGTCAAATAAATCATCAAAAAAATATAAAGCTTCTTTTGTTACTGTAGCATTTTTAGACAAATTCATTGTTGCATTGCTTGTTTGTATGACACTTATAATAATAAAATATTTTAGTGATATTATTTTTTTAACAAAAAGTTAATATCTTGTTCACATATTAAAAATAATATTAAAAATAATTTTACCATCTTTATTTGAAGAAAATATTATATCTATAAAATCCGCTACAGTATGATTCAAGACTTGTACTGCAAATTTAACTTTTATTTTTGGAATTAAATGAGGAAAAATATGATTATCCGTCAATTTCTTCATTTTTCGTCGATGTTGAAAACACTTTCGGTCTATTTCATAAACTTCTTTAATATGATCTTAAGAGGCACATTGACTTTCACGTTCTGACAATTTTACGGTTTTAGCTAAAAGTAAATCTTTATCTAAGAGATTATTACGCACACCTTTTTGAAGATGCACATAGTCATATAAAGGCACAATATATTCTCGTCCCACATAAAATAGATTTTCTCTTGGCGACTCTGAAAAAAAAACAAAATTTTAGTATTACATATAATAATATTATAAGTAATAGTTGTTAAATATGTCTATGTGTGTGTGTGTATATACAGGGTGTCAATTAAGTCC